AATATGTCAGAAATTTTTTTTTAAGTTTTGGATACTTGATATATACTAAGTATTGACTAAGGAAAAGTTTTTCTTAAGGTTCACATTTCAAACAAAATTATAGTGCATAAATTATGTGTAGGTATGTCATACCACTTGATCATGTTGAAGTGTCTTGGCAGTATAAAGATTGCTCCTGCCTTTGGGGAAATCTGACAGAATGGCAGACATACATACGTGTGGATTAGACAGGTCAGAGATAGCTTCCGTTGGGAACCTGAAGTAAGGATGGCAGGGATAGAGAAGGGGCTTCTGTCAAAGTGAGAATATACCTAGACTATGAAGTGGGTAAAATTTTAAGAATTAGGGGAATTGGATATAACCAGTGGGAATGAGCCTTGGTGGGAAGCTGGAGCTGAAAAACTGATTTAAGAATTGTAAGAGATCCAAAAAAGAGAAGGACTAGGTCCAAAAAAGAGAGGGGCTAGGGATATAACTCAGTGGCACAGCACCTGCCTGACCAGCACGAGGTCCTGAGTCTGATTCTCATTACTGAAAGCAAATAAACTCCTTAGAAAGAGAGAGAGACTGCAGGCTTTGAGGTAGTAGTGATGACACTGGCAAATCAGTAAATTAAGGACAAATGTGTCCTCATCTATAAAACAGTAATGACATTTAATTTCAGGATTTTTGTGAAGATTAAGATGAGCCAAGCAGTTTGTATAATCTGGGAAAAAGTTTAATTTGTCCATTAGACTTTTAAAAATAGGTATTTTAGGGCAGTTTTGGGTTTGCAGGAAAGCTATGGCAATACCAGCTTCATTTACCTTTGCTTTCCCTAAGGCCTCGTCTCCAAATACAGTCACCTGGAGGGTTAGGGCTTCATCATGGAGAGGGAGTGGGCACGCATTATAGTCCACAGCAATAACCTTTACCCCTTGGGGTGCTTGTTTTGAGACAGGGTCGCAGGTAGTTCAGGTAGGCCTTGAATGTACAGTGACCCTCCTGCCTTGGCCTCCCAGCTGCTGGGATTACGGGTATGCCCAACCACGGCTGGTTCCTTGGGTGTTGTGGTTTTTGTTTTTTAAGTTTTTTTTTTCTTGGTGTGGATTCCAGTAACTTTTTTTTTGAGACAGCATCTCATTATTTAGTTCAGACTGGCCCTGAACTCAGTACTGTATATAGCTCAGGCTGGCCTTGAGCTCACAGTGAACTTCCTGCCTCAGCCTCCTGAGTACTGGGATTATAGGCCATGAGCCACCACACCCAGCGAATTCCATTAACTTTCAGGCCACTTTTATAGTAAAGAAATTTGCTTAATATTGTTGTAAGGTGAATCTGCTAGCAACAGATTTCTGGTTTTGTTTGGAGAAAAACCTTAATTTTTGAGATAACTTTCCCAAATTTAGGATTTTTGGTTGGAAGTGTTTTTTCTTTGAGAGCTTCAAATGTATTTTCCTGCTGGCTTCTGCCCCCTGGTGTTTCTGCTGAGAAGTAGAATGATAATCTTACTGGTGTCCTTTTTAGTAATGGGTTTTTCTTGCTTTTTTCAAGATTTTTTAATTTTGACTTTCTGCATTTTTGCTTTGATAATTCTGTGGATTGCTTCCTATTTATCTGACTTGGAGATAGGAACTGTTTTACTGCCCACTTCTTCAAGTAGACCTAACTCAAATCAGACTCTAGTGCAGTGGATTTGTCTGAATGTTACCCCCACTCTTGGTGAAGGGGAGGGGAAAGCAGTCAAAGTTATCTCAGTTTGCCTCATCTGATGTGGAGGCAGTGCTTCCTGAACTGAGGACAAGGGTTATGAGGAACCCAGTTTTCTCAGTGCTTCACATCCAAGGTAGTGTGGGCACTGGGCCAGAGGGTTTTCCTAGGCTAACTTCCCTAGCTCAGGAATTGACTTGAAAGCTAGCCAGCTGGTGGCAGAGTGAGAAATGCTGCTCTCCTTCACTTTCTGGGAAGAAAACCCTTCAACTGGGAGCACTGGCAGCTCGGAGTAATCCTTGTGGGTTGCAGCAGTTGGAGTCCATTACTTGCTGAGGTGGGAGGAGAAAAGAAGGAGCCTTGTGGGTTCAGATAACACACACTTGCTATTCTTGCTGAGTTTTTTTGTTTTTTGTCTATTTGAGACAGGATCTCGCTATGTAGTTTAGGCTGGTCTTGAGCTCGCTTTGTAACCTAGGCTGGTCTCAAACTCACAATGATCCTTCTGCCTCGGCCTCCCGAGTGCTGGATTACAGATGGGCACTGCCAGGCCTGGCCCTTACTGAGTCTTTGTAGATTTTTCTTCAGCAGATGTTTCATTTGCTCTTTGCTCTTAGGACCACTTTCCGAGGCTTTAAAGAGTGGTGATTTTTTAAATAGTACTCTAATTTACGAAGAAGCTGGTCGGTGGGGCTCCTCAAGCTGTTGTGGTAGAGGCCAGTCTCTAGTTCCAGAGCGGTGAAATTTAACATTTTTGGACCTTTGGTTCCCTCTGCTGATTTATTTGTGAAGTAGTGCTAGCCCCTCCACCACATTGCTTCATTTTATTCTGTTACCCGGTATTACTTTCCTTGTTGTATTCATATCTAAAGTAGTGTCTGTTTTTATGCTTCATTCCCCTTGAAGTGTTAGTTTTGCAAAGATAGGAGACTCTGTTTTGTTGAAAAGTGTATCCCCAGTGCTTCAAAAACATGCATCTGCTACATGTCAGACTGTCATTACACTTAATAGTCCTGTGGGGCAAAATGGACAGTACACAAAGTAGTAGCGACTTTTTTCAAAAGTGCTTTGAAAGCGGAGTGCATGAGTGGTGGTGTTATGGTTCTGACCCGAGAGAAGTCTTACTGTTGGGGTACATTAGAGCCAAAGTAACACGTATGTATTATTGTGAGCATTGTTGCCATAATAAACCAGGCTCTGGAATCTTGGTGCCTCTTTCTAGACCACCAGTGAGTCAGTATAAAATTTTTAGGGCTGTGGCATGGATAATACAGTCAGGTAGTTACTAGGTTTCAGGCAGTTCAACCTAGCTGGCCTCTGACCTCAAGGCATCCTCCTGTTCCAGCTTCCCAACGAGCCGGAAGTACAAGTGCGTGCCACTGTGCCTGGCTTTAAAGATAACTCTTAGTAATTAAAGACGAGCCCATCTGGGTGTTGGAAATTAGACACCAGGGTTGGGAAAAATGACTAGCAGGGACACAGTGCAGGTCTCCAGCCCCAAGACAAGCAGAGAATATGAATTCACTTTGAATGTGTTTGAACGGAATCTGAGTATACTGAACTGCCCCCAAAGTGCGTATTCAAGAGTAGTGTGGATGAGAACTGTGAGGGACACTGATGTGGTACAGATGGAGGATGTGTTTGCTACTGCACTGGCATGTTGTGAGCAAGATCCATGTGGAGGTGTGTAGCAGAAGGTTCTGTTGAGAAGGATGCATCCAGAATGAAATACTCCATGCTTCTGTGCTGAGTCACCATGCTGAAACCTATGTGGCATTGTATTGTATCACTGGTAAAGGCAGGAAGTAAGAGGAAACAGATCGTAACTCGAGATTACAGAACTGTGTTGAAGTATCTTGTACTGCATCTTAACCTTCGGGGTAGGTTAGAAATCAGGGACATGTGGATGTGGTAAAAGTTGGCCCTTCTAAAAGGAAGTCTCAGTAATACAGAGAAGCCTAACTAATGTAGAGAAGTGGTTCACAGTTCTAGCTCTGTATCCCCATCATTTTCAGAACTTTTGCAAAATCCATATATTCTGGACCCCTTTCCAGATATTTAATTGATATGCAGTGGGGTCCATAGTTCTCTTGAAAAATCAGTAGTTCTTCTAGAAATATTCTGGGTGATTCTGATGTGCAGTCAGAGTTGAGATACACTACTGAAAAAGTTACATCTTGTGGGAGTAACAGAATGTTCACTTAATGTTTACAAAATGTAAAGCTGGTTATCATTTAACTCAATCTATTTTCTTTATGAGATCAGCCTTGGTCAAAGGGAGGGAAAAGATTTTAGTCTTTCTAGAAGGAAGAATACCCATTTTCTAGACTCACTCTTCAGGCCTCATCTTCGCGAGGTGATAAGAGTGCAGAAGGTATCCTCGGCCACCATGTATGGCGGATTTAGTTGAGGATTTAGGGCTGTCAGGAGACAGTTCTCACTACAGAGGAGTGGTTGTTCCCAGTTAGCCATTTAGTCAGCTGCCTTCCCTGTTTGCAGGCTCTCTGAGCCTGTTTTTGAGCCATTGGTGTTATGTCTGGTGAAGTCATGGATCCCCTTCTCAAGTTAAAATGTGTTTAAATGCATAAAGTAAAATACATAAGATTATAAAGGAAACATTATATTGAATTATAGCTATCCAAACTTTATAAAATTTGTATAATATATGCTTCCTTAATTAACAAATAACTTTTTTTTTGAGACAGTGTCTCGTACTATGTAGTACTCAATATATAGCCCAGGCTAGCCTGGAACTGATAGCGATCCTCCTGCCTTAGCCTCCCAAGTGCTGAGGTTACAGGTGTACACCACCACACCCAGTTTAACAAAAAACATTCAGTGGTGGATGTAATTACCACCACAATTTTTAAAAGTAATAATAAATGTAAACTTCAATATGCAGTGGTTGTAAAAGCAGTTAATATGAAGCAGTTGGTTTTTGTTGGAGATAGTTATGGGTACGGATAATACTGTGATGGTTTGTTGCCACATTCATAGTTGAAAACTTCTAAATTTCAGTTTAATTTGTAAAGATAAATACGTAATTTTAATTATTCAAACTCAATACCTGGAACTCTTATATGCAGAAGCTAGGTGTATTTGTTAGTCTGTAGTTAAAAGATTTCTTTCAAATAATAGTGTTTACCTATATATTTTCATAGCCCATCTTGTGTTACTAAATTACTAAAACTCAATATTGGGATAATTTTTTAAATTTGGCATTAACAGTATAATATCAGATTTTATGTATAGCATTAACTAGGTAGCTCTTTGAACGTCCAAATGCTAATAAAAATGGTTTGATTTTGCAGGAATACAAGCGCAAGTTAGCCAGAGTTTCCCTGGTGCGCAAAGAACTTAGGTCCCGGATCCAGAGCCTACCAGATTTATCTCGATTACCCAATGTCACTGGCAGCCACATGCACCTGCCCTTTGCAGGGGACATCTACAGTGAAGATTGATGACCATTCTCTTTCCAGGACCCAAGACTTTGCAAGAGATGGAGACAAGTTAGGTGGATAGTCCTGTAGCGTTATTTTTGTATACTGTTCAGAGAGTGATGCTAACAAAAGAAACACGTAATTTATAAAATTGTTTAAAATGTTGGTTTGTTTACTATTTTATTAGTAAGTTAACATGACTTAGTTTAAACAAAGTGATGATCTGTGTATTAATAAGCTCACAAATAGTGATTATTTTCAAAAGATCTTTTTGTAAATTTTTTTGATCCAAGGCCTTGTGAAAACTTTCATGTTTCTATTTCTTCATGTATTTTCAATTGTTTTTCTTTATTGTTTTCAGTATCTAATCACTGTATGCTATCTAATTACTAAAGGGGAAGAACTAATCAGGCGTTGGTTGAGACTTTATTATGGTATAGTTAGGACTTGATTATAGAAGAAACTGAATGTTCCAACTTAATCTCCACCTTTCTCCCCAACCCAAATACTAGTTTTGTGCCTCTCCATGCCTTTGATCCCTAGAGGCCAGCAATTTAACACTAAACACGGGCACCAACTGAAGGGTCAGAGCAGAACCTTAGAGAACTTTACCACAGTAGCAGTCCATTCCATCTGCCAGTGTAGAGTAAATACATGTTAAGCAGGGATTCCCTTGGTTACACTGTTTAGCATTATTTGAGTACATTAATATGAAAAAGCTTCGGAAATGTTACAAATTTTGACACTACCAAGAGAATTAACTTTGGTTCTGGAGCTGATTTATACTTAACAAATCAGTCTTTTAATGTAATTGATCCTATTAATTTAAAAAATTCATGTATGGAATTAAACCTAAAAGAATGATACTTTTATTATTCCATCAACCATATAACTTAAAAACAATAGTATTTTTTAGCTCTGATAGTTCTAGAATGCAGTATTCATTACCATTTAGTAAAGTAGTCTGGAACATTTTTTATGTTTCTGTAGGGTTTTTGAGTGACTGTATATTTGGAAATTAAGCAGTGCCACACTACAGGGTAGATCTGGTAAATTTTATATTTGTATCTTTACAGATGTAAATACAAAACAAATGTACTTTTACCTTTTATTTCTAACCTTGTGTGTTAGTGCAGTTGCATGCTCTCCAGTTTTCTTTTTAAGTCACATTGTTAAGCTGTGAATTTGTCTTTAATAATAACTTAGGATAAATATTTTTCTCATTGCTTTACATATTAAACATGTCTCATTGTAAGCAGATTCAAATTAGATAATAAAACATCTTTTAAATCCCACAAAGCCAGTTATATTTCACTACTCTGAATGGTTTCACTCGTTTTTTTTTCCCCTTCAGTATCAGAGATTAAGATTCAAATAAATTTACATGTGAAGGAAAAGGCATATATTTGTTAATAGCCAGTAGTTATAGAAACAGTGCTTTTACTAATGTGACCTCTCCAAAACAGAGATACATGTAGTAGTCCTGAACCATATACGTCTTATATTCCAAAGTGTTTCAGAGGATACGTTTTCTCACAGAAACAACAGTAGTTGGGTTCCCTGTGCATACTACCGCTGAAAGCGCATGTGGGAACCTAATCCACCTAACCATGAATGTATTTAACTTACAATATGGTTGATAAATTACTCATGGTAGACCTTGGCCAATATTTGTAACATCACTCTAAGGGGATTGTGTGTGGCAGCCAAACTCCACATGGGGGTGGCTGCCTGTGCTGTGTACCTCTATCTCTAGGTGTAAGAAATAGAAGAAATATTTCAGCAGAGGGGAGGAGGAGATAACAAATACAGTTAGAAAACCTGCTTACATCTCTTAAGAAAGTATACTGTTTTTGTTGTTGCTAATGTGAAAGCAAACACTTGTATGTTAACTTATTTTCCATATCTTGACCTTATTTATGATCTGCTGAAGTGATTTGTCCATTCAATATATATATATATACATACATATATTTTCCATTTAAAACTAATTTATAAACTATGTACTTGTGGGAAGATTTGAAATCTTTTAGGAGTTTGTTGGCATATTTTCACCGTTAAAGACAGACTTCTGACTTAGATACTGATTTTAATGCCAGTATCTGCTCTAAATATTTATGATAAAAATGCATTATTTTTTTAAAGAGCTTGATGAGATTTGTGATAAGTGATAGTACTCAAGAATCTGAATCCCACTCCTTGATCAGTCCTCCACCAACTTCAGTTGGGTAGCTCCCTAACTGAACATAAATAATATAGTCTGTTTTAGAAGTCATGTTCTCAGCCTTATGATAGTTAGCTTTTAGTAAGCCTTAGCAGTAAATAGTCTTCCTTCCTAAAAGAAAGACTAAATTTTCACAGTAAAGGGGGTTAGTTAGATTGGGGTACTGTAATACCAAATTCTTAATCATGAGCATTTTCATCATTGTGTACCTGAGGCAAATCATGCAACTGAGTGTGGTTTGGCCTGGCCCCTCAATTGAAAAGCATGTCACCATACCTGCATGAGGGGTACTATGCTTTGAATGGATACCATCACTCTTTTCTCCATAAACAGTGCAGATTGCTGTCCTGAGTGGCAGTTTGTTTGAACAGATTCCCTGATGCTCCCTCCACTCCTTCCTTCCTTCACTACGGTAAGTAAAAGAATCTTAGTGAGGAACTGGGAGTCTGAGAAAATGGATTGTGCTCAGTACCAACCTCCCTATGAGGAAAACCATTCCAGATGCAGCTATTTTGGTAACCTTTTCCACATGCACTCTGAATCAGGGTTTTTCTATTAGAAATCCTTAGGAATCAGCAAAAGCTGGAATGACCCAGTCACCTTGATTTGCAAAATTAAAAGAACAAACATAGGTTTTTAGTTTTTACTGTAAAGGAGCAACTCATCTTTTCACAGTATAGTTACTGAACTGGTTCTGACACCTGTTAAGAGAGAAAAATTTCAAAAGTAAATTTTAGGGAAAGTTAAAAGGTTCTTTCTGAATTTTCCATTCTAAAAATTTATATAATGTGGAATAATATAAGCTACTAAACTACTTAGTATTCTATTAAGAAATAGCTCCTCAACATGTAGTCATGTTTCATAATTGTTGCACTATATCAAAGCTTTTTAAAGTGTACACCCAGTTCTTCTGTGTATAGAAAGGGAACATTGCGTTACTTAATGAATTTATTTATACAGAGTATTTGTTGACAACTCTTAATTCCAGCCATCCACACTGTTCTGAGGTGGCAATAGCACATGGGAAGATGAACTCTCCCTGTTTGTTTATCCTTTTTTCTTTGGCTGTATCTGATGACAGTATAAATGTTATTAATAAAGTTTTATGTTCTTTTTGAAGCTTTTCTGTGTAGGTTGTTTCTGTGACTCATTCATTGGATATGGGTATTAAGGGGACAGATTAATAGACTGAGAGGGAAGCAAAGTACCTGAAGTATTCAACTGTGTTATGGCAGAGAAATGCTGGAGTATCAGAATCATCTAGAGGATTTATTGAACTACACATGGCTGGGCCCTACACACAGCTTCTAATTCAGTAAATCTGTGGAAAGACATAATGGTTTACTTGTCTAATGACTTAATGCGGCTGCTACTGATCTTAGGGACCACATGATGACAGCCACTGGTGATCAACTTTAAAGTCTGTGACTTGCTTCAATTTAAAATAGTGTATTTATAGTAGTCCAGTCTACTTAGTAAATTCAAGGCCAGCATGAACTAAAACCTGAATACTGAGGTTTTAGTTTAGAGCAAACAGTTCATATATTAAAGAAAAAAAAGGAGGAAAAAAATGGAAACAAAGTTTTTGTAAATGAGGGGAAGAGGGGTTGAAGGGAAGGGAGGGGATTTGGGATAAAAGAAGAATCAAGATATATCAAGTACAGGTACAAATTCCCAATGCTGAAGGTGATCATTATGTATTATCTAAAAGGTCCCAATAAAATTAATTTTTAAAAATTAAGTTCTCAGCCAGGCGTGGTGGTGCACACCTGTAATCCTAGCACTCATGAGGCTGAGGCAGGAGGATTGTTTTGAATTTGAGACCAGCCTGGGCTACAAAGTGAGCTCAAGGCCAACCTGAACTACATAGCGAGACCGTCTCAAAAAGACAAAAAAAAAAAAAAAATTCTTAACGTAGCAAAACCATTGTTTTTCAAATGATTAAGGGCAATGGGCATACAATTTTATTTTCAAGTATGGTTCATGGACATATGAAATAAAACATTAGGTAATATTTTTGGCAGTTAATAGACTGAATACATGAAGACATCAGAAATAGTGAAGAGATTAAATATTGCTGTCATTTTAGAAAGTAGTTTTATTATAAAAATTAAATCCATTATTAAAAATAATTTGATTTTTTTTTTTTTTGTACCAGGAAATGAACTCATGACCTCAGGCTTGCCAGACAGGTGCTTATGCCTCTAAGCTTTATCCTTGGCCCACCATAACTTGATTTAAAATTTTTTTTTGGCTGTTTTTTGTTTTTGTACCGAGACTCAAACTCAGGACCTTGTGCTTACCAGGCAGGTGCTGTGCTACTGAGCTATATCTCTGGCATCTGCTTCATTTTTTAACTTGGGCTTGGTTTCTGTATTTGCAGTATGACTCAGTGAAGACTATGGATTTAGACAGCATTCTGTAAGCACTTTATAAATTCTGAAATAGAAATCTTTTTTTTTTTTTTTTGCTGGTACCCAGGAGTTGAACTCATGACCTCACGCTTGCCAGGCAGGTGCTATGCCGCTGAGCTATATCCCTGGCCCTCATTTATTACTGAGCTATATCCCTGGCCCTCATTTGTTATTAAAAGTATTGAAAATGTGTAGTTGTTTCTTTGTATTCTACTTAATGAAACTAATTTATATTTTAGGTCCTCAAAAATCCTTCTACAATATATTTTCAGGATAAAATTGCAACATGACTTCAGTAACTGCAGAAGTGTTTAGATTTTTTTTTTTTTTTTTTGTCTATTTTGAGACAGGGTCTCACTATGCAGTTCAGGCTGGCCTTAAGCTCACTTTGTAGCCCAGGCCGGTCTTGAACTTGCAACAATCCTCCTGCCTCAGCCTCCCGAGTGCTGATTACAGGCGTGCGCCACCCACAAAGGCCAAACAAACAAAACTTAGTTTTAAACTCAACACTGTATTACCTTCAGTTATTCTGATCCTGGAAAATCATGTGTCACAGAGCTCTGTCAGTATTCATTAGGTCTTAACCCATGCCATGTTCTTTTTAGAGGATGGATGGCAAGTGTATGTCATACATGCTCATCTCACCATAACTTTCTCTTGCTTATGAATAAAATCAGAACTTGACGCTGTCAACCCGTCTTGATGAGAGTTGGAACAAGAGCTGAAAAATGTTTCTCTCCTAAAAGTGTGGTAGACTGCTCAGCTTTGAAAGTAGTGCCAGCTGATTCACAGTGACCAGTAAGAGGCACATGTTTTCTGAGAATACCCATCGCAGAGTAATTCTTGAGCTTTCGAGCATTTTATGAACCTAAGCTGTCAGAAGCCTAATTAATAGGGACAGTGGTAGATGCTGTGGACACAGGGAAAGCCTGGCTCAGTTCACCACTGTTTTGGTACTTGTATTTGTCAACATAGCTTATATAAATCTAAAAACAGCTGGTTAGCCCTGGTGTGTCAATTTGCCAAGCTCTAATGAAAATCTGCTTTAAATTTTCAAGTGAAGGAAGGCTTAGAAACAAATCAGAACTCGGTAGTTAAATGACTTAAGTTTTTAAATTTTGCTGTCTTGCTCAGTACTGCTTGTAAAATTCACTATACATGGAGCTCTTGCCCATCCATTTTATTTATTTTTTTAAGTTTTTGAAACAGGATCTCACTATGTAGCCCAGGCTGCCCTTGAACTCACAGCGATTCTTGTGCCTCAGCCTCTCAAGTGGTGGGATTATAGGTGTGTGCCACCATGTCTGGTGCCATTTTATTTTTAATAGATAAACAATTGTATATACTTATTGTGGTGCAGTATAATGAGATATTACATGTAACTATTATACATCAAAGCAGGCTAAGTAACATATCTATCACCTCAAATATGTATCATTTCCTTCTGTAAGTTCAGCTGTTCAGGATCCATGTGTATTGTGAGATCATATGAGATGTCTCTCTGTGCCTGGCTTACTTCATTTAGCAGTGTTCTCCAGGTTCATCCATGTTCTAGCAAATGACATTTTTCTGCTTTTTAAAAACAATGTATTCTATTATGTATATAGGCCACATTTAAAAAAAATCCATTTGTCAGTTGATGTATTAGTGGGTTGTTTCTTAGCAATGAAGGTGGGGGTATGGACAATTCTGTAACACACTGACTTCAATTCCCTTGAGATACATACCCAAAAAGCGGGACTACTGATTACAGATATACTTTTAATTTTTAAAGAAACCTCTATATTGTTTTCTTAAATGGCTATACTAATTTACAATACAATTTTAAAGGGCTTTCTAGAAGATAGGTTGAATAAAATCCTAGTTTATCTTTTTTTAAAATTGTATGTTCTTTCCCAATAGCTAGATGTTCTTTCTAGATAGCTATTACTATATTACATTTTGATATAATTTCTTGGACTGGATATAAGTCTTCATCAGAACAAATTAAAACACCACTTTAAGGTAAAATATTACTGTAGGAGCAATATAAAGTTGTAAAAGTGGAAATTCTAGTATCTTATGGAATCATTTATAATCAAGAATGTTGGGCTAGAGGTGAGGCTCAGTGGCAGGCCCTGGATGGAATACCCAGCACTGGAAAGAAAGTGGCGGACATTTACTTTTGCATCCAAAATAGGAATACAATGGCACCTTGGTTTATAAGCTTGATTCTTTCCATGATTCTGGTTGCAAACAAAGTTGGATGAGAACTGAATCAAATTCAATGCTTAGGATCAATAGTGACCTTATGGGGAAATTTGATTCTGTTCTTGTCTAGTTTGGTTTGTGACTAGAATTGTGGAGAGAACTGAGGCACCACTGTAATGTTTAGATTTTACTTACACAGTTATGCACATGACGGGTGAGGAAACAAAGATGTTTGTTTTCTAGGCTCCTTTTCTGAATTAGCAATAAGGCTACACACACACACACACACACACACACACACACACACACGAAGAAACCTCTTCATGAGTGAACACATCCTTCACATGAAGTTTTCAATTTCCTTTTGAAAGAAAGTGACAAACAATAAAAAGTGCTAAAAACTAAAGGGAGAGAAGCACCTTTCACAGTTTCAATCCACACAAGCACTCTGTGAAGTCAGTTATTCATTCTAAGGACAGATTTTCCCCATAAACACTGAAGGATGCCAAGAAAAGCTTGTTCTTGAACTTAGTTTCCATTTATTCAAAGAACAAATAAAAGTTTAAAAAACTGTTTTACTAATTTTAGTTTCAGAAATTAGAGTAGACTGTGGCTGCGGGTTTAGCTTGGGCTGTCGAATGCTTGCCCAGCATGCATTGAAGTGCCGGGTTCAACCCCCAGGACCACTGAAAAAAAAAAAAAATTACAATAGACATTCCTTCTTTTTTGTCTTTTTGAGACAGAGTCTCACTATGCATTTCACACTGGCCTTGAGCTCACTTTGTAGCCCAGGGTGGTCTTGAACTTGCAACGATCCTCTTGCCTCAGCCTCTTGAGTGCTGGGATTACCGGCATGCGCCACCATGCCTGGCTGACATTTCTTATTTTCAATTTCAAAGTCCAGCCTTCACAGTGAAGATAAGAAATTTCTGAAGTCCACCTTTACATTCTTTTGGGATTCACTCTGACTAAGCAACATTTTTAGCTGAGAGAAGTGTTTCTTTCTTTTGTTCCCACTCTTTGAGGAGCAAATGGGTGTTGACTGGCCAGATGTAGGTGTTCTGAAAAGGAGCGGGGCAGGGAACACACACAAAAAAACCTGTTTTAGTGACAATAACAAATTACTTTTTCTGTAACTGCTATCAGAATAATTTTCCACTCTTTTATACTGTTGGTCTATATGGGCAGTCATTCCTATTTTTAAAAATCTCATGAGTATTAGGCTTTGAGCAACATTTAGGAGGAACACGGGGTATCTTAGAAGCTTTACTGCACCCAAAAGATTAGCCTAAGGCAATGACAGCAAATCTTTTAGGGACTGAGTGCTAAACTGCAACCCAAAACCCACTTATTTATTATAAAGTGGGTTTGCAATAACCCAACGCTGCAATTAAACCTGAATACTGAGGTTTTAGTTTAGAGAAAACAATTCATATATTAACACCTTGTCTTAGAAAAACAGAGTAACATGCATGGCATAGGTTTGCCACCATTGGCCTAGATAGAGGTAGAATCTTACTAGGTTCAAGTTTTCTTTGAGCCTGCCATCAAGATTTATGACAGTTCTTAGCAAGGACTTTAAAAACATTGTTTCTTCAGTTTAAGGTCACTTTACTTTTTCAAGGTGAAGGGTTTCAACTTATGCATGCAGTTACCATTCTGCTGTACCTTTCCCACTAGGATGTCAGTTCTGCAGGGCAGATGTGTACTACTAATTGTATACTCCAGTGCTTTTTAACCATATCAGGTACATAAGAGGTGCTCTAGAAACATCCGCTGAATACATGATCCTCATGTACTCCTACTGCATTTCATTCCCTCCAACTGTATCCTATCTTCCTCAATCCTTACTTTGGGTTCATCAGTCTCATCTCTCTTTTTCAAGCTGGTATCAGACAGAAACCCTGTTTGTATAATAAATGTGCAGGATCTATCCATTCCTGCATATATTAAGAAGCACAACCATTCCTTGGTATCCATGGCGTGAGTGGTTCTGGGACTACCCCATACACACCAAAATCTGCAGGTACTCAAGTCCCTTATAAAAAATGACACAGTATTCACAACTCCTATAGAGTTTAGTTCATTTCTAAACTACTTGTAATACCTAATACAATATATATAGTATAGAGTTGCTATGCCATATTGTTTAGGGAATACTGGTAAGAAAAAAGACTTGCACATCTTCAGTAGAGACAGGTTTTATTTCTGTAAATATTTTGATCTAGGACTGGTTAATCTGCAGATGCAGAACCTATAGAGGGCTGACAATAGCCTGGTCTGACTCAAGTCAACTAAATTGCTTTAAATAAGCCCAACTTTCTTTTACTATATTTATCCAATAAAGTAAAATTTTCTATGTTGAATTTTTAGATGGAATGTTGAAATAAAATTAAGAATGTAGACAAAGTTAGACTTCAACTTTCTCTTTGTAACACAATATTCCAAAATTTCTTTCATTGTTTCTATAGATTTACATTTACTGGTTATCATAGTGACTGAAATACTGAGGATTAATAGAAACATGTGCCCAGTCATATGGATAGCCTCATATCACTTGACAAATCCCCATTCAATTACAGATTTCCATAGGAATTTATTCTCTTCTTCCCTCTCTAAGTTTTGGACATGCAGGAGTTAGAGTGGATATATTTATGAGCAGCTGGGAATATGCCAGGGAGAGACTGAAGGAGATCTGCACAGAATATTTAGTTTATATTAAACAAAGGCAATTAGAAGAAATAGTCAGTATGGCAACTCAAAGTTAGTGAGGGAAGATACCTGAAAATCAATGCTGGGCTCTTGCCTTTGGAACCAGATATATCATGATGTAAATTTGTGGAACTTGGAGTCTTTTTTTCTTGTATCTTCAGGCTGAGTTTACTTGTAGGAGTGACAGGAATGTTCTTCAATGATGACAGAAAGCTTCTACTTTTACCATGATGTTTAACCGCTCTGTTACAAGTTTTACAAGTAATCAACTACCATAAAAAAAGAAGACATATTGGTCATATGAGTTCTCTTATAGTTTAATACAATAAATAACATATTCCCTGAATTTTTATGTCAGGGTCCTACAGAGATAAGCAACACAAAGGCTGCCTGGCAGCTTGAATATAGCAGCAGGAATCACACAATTTTTTTTTTTTTTTGTCTTTTTGAGACAGGGTCTCACTACGTAGTTCAGGCTGGTCTTCAGGTCACTTTGTAGCCCAGGCTGGTCTCAAACTTAAAACTGTCCTCCTGCCTCAGCCTCCCAAGTGCTGGGATTATAGGCATGTACTACCACACCCAGCAAGACAAATTTAAAGTAAGAAAGTCTTCAATGAAAAATTAATGGTAAGACATTTATATTTAAGTTTTTAAAAATGATAACAAAATCTGTTTTTTCAACATAAAACCATTATTTGGGGAGAACTGGAGAAGAGACTGGGGATGATACTTTTAACATGTAGATGTTCTTTGTAATAGCACTAGATATGTAGTATGTTTTGCAGATGAATTTCAAGCCTTTTCCCAATAAAACATGGCAGAATATCACTGAAAATTTAAGTAGACCCTTTTGTAAGTTCAGGTCTAAAGTAACTTAGAAAACCGAATGAGTTACCATGGTCTCAAACCTCCTCATTTCCATATTTACCTCTACAGGCTTTCTTTTCAGGATTAATTTTTTAAAGAATCCATTGTCTAGCTAAATGCCTTTCTTCTACATATCTCACTTACATTATCTCAGAATTCAGCCCATGCCTCAGCAGTATACACTAGTTTAGATGAGAAGTATTCAGATGTTCATCAGCATATGCAAATGGGAGATCTGCATATATCAAAGGTCTATGTTGCTTTACTTATACTTTTTGAAAAGAGGCCATATATATATATTAAAACAAAGAGTAAAACACTCCTACCACTCTTCTAGCTCATCTCTTGAAAATGTTTGAACGTAAGCTTCATAAAGGCAAAACACTGGACGAAAATGAAGAAATATTTATCTTCCCATTTAGGGACATTTTCCAAATAGCAATTTTCTGACAAGTTGAGAAAGTGAATTATACTTATTTCAATATTCTTTCTTCCTTACCCCTTTAACATTCACTTTTATGACAAAACAAAATGGACAAGACTTACCTATCCAATACGGGTAAACTTCTAAACATGGCAATTTTTTTCTTTTGTTTTGATTTCTCAGGCAGAATCTCACTATGTAGTTCAGCCTGGCCTCAAACTTACAGCTATGTTCCTGCCTTGACCTCCCGAGTGCTGGGATTACTCAGGTACACTACCACAGCCAGTTAATATGACAATTTTCAATCCAAGTTATTATTAATTATAACTTCAGGCTAGACCTAAGCTGTCATAACGTCCAGTACCCAGTACAATGCCTGCCAAAGAGCAGGCACTTGAACACTTGTTAAATGTTAACACAGACTATGCAGGATATAAAATATATCTGATACTGGTTTCCATCTAGTAATCCACAGATAATCTGATAACTGCTGTATGGCACAAAAGACCCTTAATAAATGCTTAATGAACAGCACATGTACTCACTTTTGCTTGGCATACAAGGAAAGTGGATTACTTGGAAATGAGGAGGTTTGAGACCATGGTAACCATGTACTGACTGGCTACCCGTGTATGTAAGGTACAGCTGTGTAAAGGAAAGGACCATTAACTGAAAATTTATTAATAACTGCAATTCAAGGGGCTGGGGATTTAGCTCAGCGGCAAAGCGCCTGCCTGGCAAGCCCAACGTCGTGAGTTCAGTTCCCGGTACCGGAGAAAAACCAAAACCAAAAAAAAAACAAACTGCAATTCAAGCAGTCATACTGGTCAGCTCAAGAAATGCTCAAATTTATGAAAATAACTGCTCAACAATGAGATCTGAGAAGAACTCAAAGTATTTAGTTTAAGGTTAATTATGAAACATGATAAAACATGAATCACTAGGAAAAAAAATATGTATGTCAATAATCCAAATGTACTATTACAAATCTGAGTGAGAGATGGGCTGATTTTTAACTTTTAGTGAAAAAATATAAAATTATTCATATATACTGGAACTGAAATCTTACCAATACATTTTTGGAGTCTCTGTATTTTTTCACAATTTTTGCTTCTTTAAAACTGAGTGTATGATTTCTAGCTTCTCGATTAAGAAGTTTCTGTATTCTGGGTGTCAATTTGGCCTTGGGTTTGAGGCGTACTCGAGAGTTATCCAGAACCAACAACTGGAAACAATATGGACATGTTTCTTCAAAAGTGCTCTTATCATCTAAAATTATACAAATAAAACAATAATTTATTCTGTAAAATCCTGTAATTCCATCCACTCACTCCTTTCAGTAACTGAGAAGCAGGACTCCAACCTTTGCAACCTGGTTTATTACTTGCTACTGTGTGAAAGAAAAGGCAATTATGCCTCACTATTTTTTTTAATTTTACAGAGAATAATAAAAACAGAACAATAGCAAAATATCAACACAGACAAAACCAAAACAGAGCAAAAGCAATAAAAAGGATACAGGGTTTCAGAACAAAATGATAGGAATTAACAGTGGCTATTATATTACATATTGTTATCTTCCATGAAGTTGCTCAGAATAAAACCCAAAATGTACAATAGATATTATGAAAGGGAAAGAAATTGCTCAAAGGAAGGAACTGGAATGAGGGAAAGGAGAAAAAGGAAGGAAGCAAAAAGGAAAAAAAAATATAGATAGACGGATAGCTGCGATAACTGTACTGCTGAAGTCTAATGGTTTACTGAAAGGAACAATTAATGCCTAATTTTTTTCTCTTTTTGACTAATTTTGCATGCTTATATCTGGTAATCTGAAGAACTAATTTGAAGACAACAGTATGCAATATAACAACCATTGGTGAATTCCTACCATCTTGTCCAGTGAAACTCTGTATTGTTTCTAATAGGTTTTTTTATTTTTTATTCTCTTCAATGGTTTGCTCAGTCTTGCATTCTTACATCTGTCTCATCAGTTTTATGAACATATTTTCCACAAATTAACAAATTGCACTGTGATTTTGTTTTTTCAAACAATTAACACAACCAGTATTTATTGAGTACCTACTATTCAGCACTGTGCTTAGCTCTAGTAGATCCAACAGCACTACAAAAGGCCAAAGGCCATGATTATAACTTAGCTCTGCCAAATGTAAAATTCATTCATATTTACATATTTTAAATGCCAGATGCTGTTCTGGATACTGGAACTACAGCAGTAAACAAATGACAAATTCCTAGAGACAGACAATATATATAACATTAAAAGCTTTTGCTGGGAATTAAAAAAAAAAGGAAAAGGGTTTAGACAGTGTTGATGGAGACATTGTAATTTCAAGTAGGGTGGCTAGAAAGAGGCTTCATCAGGTGACATTTGCAGGGTGGAACCAAAGCCTATGTATGAGCAAGAGTTCCAGACAGAGGACAGGGTAGCTCCAAAGGCCCTGAAACACAACAGCACAGAGGGGGCCTATTGTGGCTGAGTCTACAACAGGTCAGAGGTTATGTGGATCTGTCTTAAAGGGCAGAATAATCCTTTTAATATGAAGTGGGAAACCATTATGGCCAAGAAAGGGCATGATCTACCTTTAGTTTTTATCAGTATCACACTGGCTGTAGAAATTCCTGCAATAATCCTGGAGAGGCCAGGGATGGCTTGGACCAGGGTGGGAGCAGTAGATGGATGAAAAAATGGATAGCATTTGCAGACATTTAAAGCCAATGAGATTTGTTGGCATACTGTTTTGGGGTGGGCAAGGAGAGAGCTGTTAAATTAACAATAGCTCCAAGGTTTTGGGCTAATGAACTGTAAAGATAAGGTTATTTACTCAGTGAAATGGCAAAAACACAAGTGTATTAGGGGTAATGCTAGGGTTTTGGACATAGTTAAATTTGAAATGCCTAGCAGACATTCAGAATAAGCTGTCAAGACGATATCTGGTATATGAGTCAAGAATCTGGAAACAAGGTCTGGCCTGGACTTTGGAAACCTTCAGTATACGGTATTTAAATGCCATGAGACTGGATGAAAAGTCACCAAGTGTAGCTAGGAAGAAGGTACAGGGGACAGTATTTAGAAGTTGGGGGACTAGGAGGAACAAGCAAAGCAGATCGGGAAGTGCTGGCGGAAGGGGTGAAAGATGAACTACTACTGTGTGTGATGCCCTGGAAAAAAAAGGGAAAAACGATTTCGAGGAGCGCATGCCGTAGGCCTGCATTTGGGAGGCTGAGGCAGGTGAATCGCCTCGAGTTCGGGGCCAGGCTAAACTGCGTAGTTAGGCTCCGTAGTGAAACCTTGCATAGTGGAGAGAGGGAGAGAGGGAGAGGGACAGGCGGAGAAGGAGCGGGAGAGAGAGAGAGAGAGAAGGAGCGGGAGAGAAAGAGGGAGACAATGAGAGGGAGAGAATGAAAGGGAGGGAGTGGGAGAGAAGGGGAAGAAAGGGGCAAGAGGAGGGGGAGAGGGAGGGAGAGAGAGAGGGAATTACTCAATGTCGCCAGAAAGAAAGGGAAGAAACATTAGGGAATTCGGATTTTAAGAAGCCTCTAGATTTTGTTTTTAAAGAAGCGCGAATCGATCCGCCTTCTCTTTCAGATCATTCCGCGGGCCGCCCGAAACAGAGGAGAGGGGCGAGGCACGCTGAACGCCCGCAGACGGCGCTCTCCTACCGTGAGACGAAGAGTAGGCCCAGCTGTGAAAGAGAAAGAGACCCGTGAGCGCGAAGGATCCTCTCGCCGCCCGCCTCCCACGCCCTTCGCGAACCTCGCTTACAGGAGATAGCGGGCTTGGCCGGGGCAGCTATCCTGTAAGCTTCGCGCTGCAGCCTCGAGGTAGTGCTTCTGCCTCATCGCCGGCGCCTCCGCGTCTTCCCCGCTGAGACTCCAGTAGGAAAGACCGCGTCCGAGTCAACTTCCAGCAACGCCAAGCTTGTGCTCAGCAGCCGAGCTCCCTCCGGAAACAGACTCAGATTGCGGAGGGTTCCGGTTTCCTGCGCTTCCGGTCTGGCGCGCAGGCGTGCCTAGTGGGAGGCGGTGCTCAGCCGGCTCGTGGCGTGGGTCTGGGTCCCGCCCTGTCCCGTCAAGCCCGCAGGCCAGGGTCTTGGCTTGGCAAGCGGGGCAGGGTCCTCACCTCAGGGCTCCACTTGCCTCTCTGTTGTCCCACCCGGCCTGCCCCCTCTGACTCTTGTGGCCTCCTCATCGGATGAGGACCTTCTGGGTAGCTTAAACAGGCTTGGTTTATGCTGAAATCCAACTGTTCATCTCAAAGTTATGGTCATAACTTTTCTAGTGTGATTTCTGTCATACACTTTAATTGATGGGTTTTTTACTTAGATGTACGGTAGAACAGCTGACTTTTTTTCAAGGCAGAGAACAAGGCACACACTTGGTATATGTCAAGCACTTTTCTAAATCTCTTTTTTTTTTTTTTTTTTTTGGTTTTGGTTTTTCTCCGGTACCGGGAACCGAACTCACGACCTTGCGCTTGCCAGGCAGGCGCTTTTGCCGCTGAGCTAAATCCCCAGCCCCCTAAATCTCTTAACAGGTGTGGGTTCATGTTATCTTTAGAGCAACGCCATAGTGATATAAGGATATCTAAATAAAATAATATAAGGGAAATATTGTAACTCAACCTGCTAGATGTCTGATTTGCTGTTCGTGTTTTTGAAAATTGAAAAATTATTATTATTATTTTTTTTTTTTTTTTTTTTGACACAGGGTCTCACTCTGCAGTTCAGGCTGGCCTTGAACTCACTAGGTAGCCCAGGCTGGTCTAAAACTCGTAACAATCCTCCTACCTCAGCCTCCCAAGTGCTGGGATTAAAGGCTTGTGCCGCCAGGCTCGACAGGAAGAATGAATTTTAAGGAACAGTGGAGGTTAAGAGCCGGAAATATTTATTGGGGGAAGAAAGCCTCTAAGACAGAAGGGGTCTCAAGTGGGTGGCCAAGGAGCCCGCTTTTTAGAGGAAGCTTTATAGAGCAAAATTGGGAGATGGGTATAAGATCGGACAAAACTATGAGCAACTAGTAAGATTCTTAGTATATTGCTTAGGTAATATTGATCTAATGGGAAACAAGTCACATAGCATGTGTGTATGGAAAGAACAAGGACTTTTTTGGGGGGTGGGTAGGTCAGGGATTCTTTTAGGCCCCCTGCTCAGGTGATTGATGTCTGTTAGAATATCAATCATTAGTGTTTACCTCTGGGGGACACATGTAGGTGTAGTTAGTTTATCTTTTGGGTTCTGGCCTCTAATGAATGTGCCTCTACCCACAGTTATATTTTTATCCTTTATACTGCCTCTTCTAAGGGCCTTGCCCTGTTTGACTGCCTGTAATATTTTTAACTAACTTAGCTGTCTATAGTAATACCATAGATGAAATGCCACTTTATCATGTAGGAAAAAAATTAACATAATCACATGTTTCTAAATTTTTCTATTTCATTAACCAATAAAGCAGAAATAGGGGAAATAATACATTTCCTCTGCCTCCCAGCCCACACAACCAGTCCCTTTTTTTTTCTTCTGTATCACTGCTATAATGGAAGCCTCTCAGCATCTCTACTCGAATTGTAACTTGTCTTCTGAGGTGCAATGTGGCCAAATTAGCACTCCTGGTTTCTCCCAACAACCTGCCTGGCTGCCTAGTATTCCATCTTAGAACTCCTACACATCACCGCTGCTTCCTTTCTCTCCACCACCTGTATTTGGTCTATACACAGGTTCACCAGCAGTAAATCACAGTTCTGCCGACTTCTCTGCACCACCATATCCACCCTCTTCTCTTGCCTGTCCTCCTATCATGGCCCTTTAGTCCATAGTTGGCTGACTACAAGGCAGAGTGGATTGCAAAGGAGCATGGCAGAAGAGAAACAGTCCATGGCAGAGTAGGCAGAAAGCAGGAAGCAGCAGCCTCCCTTTCTCTTTTATTTCATACAGGCCACAGCTTATTGGTTGGTGCCACCTACACATACAGTGGGCCTTCCTGTTATCCAGACCCAGAGCTATGCTAAGCCAATAAGTGGACTAATGTAGTATCACACACCCAAGATCCATCTACTTCTGAGAAACCTTACCTACAAGCACATGAAGTTTTGGGGGACACCTAGATACAAGCCATAGTGATGGGGCAAGAGAGACTCCATTTTCTGTTTTTAACTGCATGTTAAGAGAAGTCACTTAAAGTTCACATAAGCTGTAGTTCACCCCAGTCGCCTTGGTTAGGTATTAACTCAGAGCAGGGCGGAGTCATAAAATGGGAACAGAACAAACGGGACAAATTGGGACTTGGGCTAAAAGTTAAACTGCAATGATCATTTGGAATTTGGCTGTGTGGCCTTCTGGGAGAAGAAAACTTTGTGATAATTGACAATTTTGTAAGATTCCTAAAAATATAGTGGTTACTAGGGAAACCTAAAATGTACTTAAACTGAAGGTGAGACTCAGATTGGGGCAGACATTTTCTCTGGCTCCTGGTTAGAGACTGTCCATCAGCCGGCTTAATAAAACTTTGTTCGTTCCTGCCTTTTTGGTTTTCATGTGAGTGCCTTTCTTGTTAAACTTGCTTGCCATATCAATGGGAGTACCTTTACAGTATATAAATTAACTGAAAGTCTAATATAAGGGTATATTTTTATACCAAATAGCTCATTCCCAGCCAATCATTATAGCTGAGCCTAAGCCAGTAATGGGTGACCAACTGATCAGACCAGCTTCAGATAAGACAAATATGAAGTTGTAATTAATTGAATCTCAGTTCCATTTTCTGTGTATAAATACTACCTGCCCACGGTGCAAGCTCAAGTTCTCTGAACCTGTTCTGGCTTTAGGGCTGCCTGATTCTTGAGTCATTCTTTGCTTCATTAAACTTTATGTTTCTGAAGTCCTTGCTTTTCCTACTGGTCTTCTCCTTGCCTGAGTCACCTGTTACTGATCTCCTAATGCATCACAAATCCTTGAGGGAATTTATTTATTTATTTATTTATTTATTTATTTATTTATTTATTTAAATTTTAGAATGCTATTTGGTCTCTCTTGCTCGGTCTCTCTTGCTCGTTCTCTCTCTCTCTCTCTCTCTTATTTATTTATTTATTTCTCTCTCTTTCTGTGATTCTGGGGATTGAACCCAGAGCCTTTACACTGAGCTACGTCCCAAGCCCTTTTAACAGAAATTAAAATTTGTGACAGTGTCTTTATAAGTTGTCCAGGTAGGCTCTAATTTGAGAGCTTCCTATCTCTGCCTCCCAGTCTGCTTGGATTACAGGTGTGCACCACCATGCTTGGCATGGATGCACATCTGAGCCCAGGTTTCTACAGCAATATTAGTTTTCTCTGCACCGTTTCACTGCTCCAAAACCTGCAATAAGAGTCCAGGTAATTTCTGTCTAAAATATCAAGCTTTCTTTTTGTCTCTCATCGATATCATTTCTCCTTTCTCTGGAAAGTTTGTACTTTAAATTTCCCCCATCCACGAATTATTTTTCCTGCTCAGCAAGAAGGCAGGATAAATTCAAAGATCAGAAGGCTCACTTGGACTCTGTTCTTTCCCTGAAAGGCTTTGTAACCATGAACAAACTTTATTTAGCATGACTTACATGAATTTAGCCATCTGTTGTGGTTTATATCTAGCTGTTCCCCCAAACCCTCATATGCTCAGATCTTGGGCTTTGGGAAGGTGACTGGACCATGGGCACGTGATACTGGATTTGTCCACTGATGGGTTTATAGCTGGGTATAATGTTGCCAGGTGAAGCCTAGTGGGAAGAGGTGGGTAACTGGGGCATGGCCTGGAAGTATACATCCTTTTTACTCCCTCATCTCTCTCTGCTTCCTGTTTGCCAGCCATGAACTGTTTCTATTCTGCTATGCTGCCCTTCCTTGGATACAGCCAGAAATGGCCTGAAACCTCTATAAACTGTGAGCCAAAATAAACCTTTCTTTAACTTGTGAACATCAGGTATTTTGTCTCAGCAATGAGAAAATAATGAAGATACCATCCAAAAAAAAAAAAAAGGAGATGAAATTCTAAATGTGGTTCTAGATATTTCCTATATGGTTCTTGATATATCATTTGTGTACTCACTGCCCACATGCCTGGAACATGGGAGACAGAACATAAAAGGGGTGGGAGATTGCCTGTCAGGCTCAGGCCCCTAAAGCCTAAAGAAAGCCGGATGGCCCAGGATCCGGTGCTGTCCCCACATGCTCACCCTGTTTCCCGTGCTCAACACCAGCATTTATTACCACTCCTTTGTCTTTCAGGAGACAAGATTAAGTTTTCAGACTCATTGTAACAAATTGATATTTTTGACTAATTTTGATTTTAAAAAGAATTGACACTAGTGGGTCTCTTTAGAAGAATGGAGGATAATACATAAACATGAGCATATCAAAATTCTAAAGCAGTTGAGAATTACTGTAGCAAATATTGATAACGATGGGAGGAGAAAGGCTTGGGGAAAAGTAGAGAAGAGCTACTCGGCAATGATTTTATGATTTGGAAAAACATTGGTACTTTCTTCAGTGCCTACTTCTACACCCCAAGGAAATCAAAGCTCTAGTTCTGCATGACTAAATTATTTTGTCACCACATGGACATAAATTCATCTTTGTCTGGTGCCCATGTTAGCTGGGATTACTTCAGTTTGGCATAACATTCACTAACTTGGCCCAGTCCAGTCAAGGAAAATTTCACTGTCAGGACCATGACCAGGCCCTAGAGCAGGCCTTGTCCAGTGGAGTCTGATGGACTTGGGGAAGGCAGTGGGAAGCACTTAGGGCCCCATGCAGAGCCTGGGATGCAAGGGTCATTCCTTTGCCAATGCAGCCCGAGGAATGGAGGTCAGTGCCTAGAGGGGGCTGAACTCTACATAACTATGTAGATACACTTACAGCTATGTAGATTCACTTTATAGTTCACTGCTTATTTTGGCTTCTGAATAGTTTTCCTCAGTGAGATATACATTTATGA